TCCTCAAACTGCACACTTAGAATGGATGTGTTGTAGTGAATGTAAATTAAACCTTGATAGATTTGATTTAAAAAACAAAACAAGATTAGAGAATGCAAACAGAAACAAAACAGAAGATGGGAAAATGGAGAATTAAAACAACAAAAAACAGACTTTCAGGTGGAGGAATGGTACATGAGAGAATACCTGTTCGATAACCTTGACCCACCAGTACATTTGGTGAGTGAGAGAAAGTGATTAGGTGTAAGAGGAAGTTAAAAAGAATGTGAACAGCTGTTGGATAGCAGATGCCAGGAAACACAAAATGAGCGAATTCATTACCAACTGAAACCAGAGAGCAAGAATATTGAATGTCAGGTGTTCTCATTTCCTTTAGTTTCTTTAGGCATGATTTGCAGCCTAGAGAAAGCGAGTAGGCATTACTAAGGATTAGGGATTGTAGAGCACATTTGGCTAGTAAGTGCACAGTGTTAGGAAAAGCAATGTAAATAGGGCTACATAGTTTAAGGGGTAGGAGTGGTAAACCTTGGTTAGTGAAGAAGAGGTTGAGCATGTATGAAAGATAGGAAAGGTGAAAGGTAAGAATGATTTGGACTAAGAAAAATTACTTTCTATGATTAGTTGATACATAATGCAACATGAGCTTTCCAAAGTAGTATAATGGCAGGCAGCTAAGGCTTTTGAAAATATAAAACACTTCTATCAGGCAGACTTAGAAAAAGTCCCTCCTCTTTCTGTAGGGAATAATCTCAGTGGACATCAAGCTTATCAACTTGTAGCTTTGACAAAGTATTTCACATTCTCCTTAATTAATGTATGGCTCTCAGTGACATATTTTTTCAAGAGTTACTCTATGCCCAGTCTCTCAATGTGTTGTGGGCCTTACAGTCTTTAATGCAAGGTATGCTCTAAGTTATAACTCCTAAAGGCAGAAGACAAGTTCACTGTAGACAGTGAATGGACTAAAATGTCTTTAGCCTCCCAGGGCCTTAATAGGGCTGATGGTGGATGATTTCTACCAAAGAAAAAGAGGACAAAGAGATTTCAGCTCATCAATAAAGCATCTCAAGAAATGGCTGGAGATTAAATTTAAAGTCAATCTTAAATTAATTTGAAAAATGCACACAAAGATTATTACCTGCACCAATTGGATATGTCAGACCTATAAGTATCTATGTAGAAACAACAGCTTATAATTAATAATAATAATAATAAAAACCACTACTTTTCCTGGCTAGGAACATAGGAAAGGCAAGTTTGAAACAAAAGAGTTGTCAAAAGGGACATTTGATATGACATCAGCTATCAAGATCATGAGTATAATTTTTAATAGCTTTTGAAATTTTGATATTTTTGATATTAGCCCAGTGCTATGCACATAATAAATGCTCAATTAATACAATCACACCTGGATTTCAAGATCCCTCAGTGGTGGAGAATAGGAGAGCTGTAGGGCAGGATTTCCAGTATCAGAGCTGAGTCAAGAACAGCAATGGCATATCAAAGGAGAGTCTCTCACAGTGGCTGGCGCAAACACAGGAAGGAGGAAGCATTCTTCCTCCAAAACCTAAGGAGCCACTTGTTAGGCCCAAAGGAGCCCTCTGTTGCCAAGTCAGAAACAAAGCCTTAAACAGATTAACATTTTTTCCCCTACGTGAATATACAAGGGTAAAAAAACCCTTAACCTTTCTCATTATGAGAAAATTGAAAATTGACAATAGCATGAGCTGTTCACCTGTATTCTCCTCTCCTCCATTAGTGGACCTCCAGAACCTGGAATGCCACCATCTAATACAGTGACTCATGGGATACAGTGGTGAAGTGCGGAATTGGAAATTCTTCCTAGACCTACTGTCCTACTGGGTGTGTCATCTGCCTCCCTCCAAGTCACTCCTCTGTACCTTTGGATCTCATAATGTCAATGCATGTTGAATAAATTTCTAGTCTACACACAGATATAAAGCAAGAAATGCCCCAAAGGGGGGCACCTGGGTGGTTCAGTTGGTTAAGTGTCTGACTCTTGGTTTCAGCTCAGGTCATGGTCTCAGGGTCGTGGGATTGAGCCCTGCAACAGGCTCTACACTCAGCAGGGAGTCTGCGGGAGATTCCCTCTCACTTCTCCCTCTGCCTCTCCCCCTGCTCACGCACACAGGCACACTCTCTCTCGCTCTCTCCCTCTCTCAATCTCTTAAATAAATAAATAAATCTTTTAAAAAAAGAAAGAAAGAAAAGGAAATGCCCCAAAGGCACTTCTCCTAAATAGAAGAATCCTTTGGAAATGGATACCTCCGTATTTGGGGATACACTGAAGTAAACATTTTCATTTTAACAATGCACATCCACAGAAGAGTCAAATTACCTCTGGGTAGGAATCAGCAACATGGTCTCAGAGAGTCCTTCACCTTAAAAGGAAAGAATTTGGAAAAGCCTCTAGTTGCAGTGTGATCTCAGGCAAGTCACTCAAGCTCTCCGGACCCATCTCCTTCTCTAAAATGTGATCATGACAGTGGTGCCTGCTTCATAAGATTGTCATGAGGATTCACTGAAATACTGCACTTGAAGAACTTGGAACAGCGTGTGGCACATAAAGACAGTCCAATAAATACTAGCTATAATTACTGTTATTGAAAGAAATTCAACAGATATAGCTATCAGGATAGTAGGAACTTTGTAGGACTCACAAACTTTGTAACTTCCTCGAATTCAAGTCAGTTGTAGGACCTTGAAAGAACCACAGGCCTCTTATTTGGAAGACCCCAACACACATCATCTTTTTTTTTTTTTTAAAAGATTTTATTTATTTGAGCGAGGGAGAGAGAGAACAAGCTGGGGGGAGGGGTAGAAGTAGAGGGAGAAACAGACTCCCTGCTGAGCAGGGAGCCCGATGGGGGCTTGATCCCAGGACCCTAAGATCATGACCTGAGCCTAAGTAGACACTTAACCAACTGAGCCACCCAGGCACCCCAACACACATCATCTTAAGCAAAATAAATTGTAGTCATATTCTCAAATAAATGGAATTGTTATAACATTTTTGAAAATATGTGTAATCTTACTATTGACATCTTTTCTTATTTTGAACACTTTTTTTTTAGGTCTGAAACATTTTTCAACTAATTGCTGCTATGTATTGAGTGCTTAATACCCACCAGATACTGTCCTAAGAGCATTACATGCCTTAACTTATTTAATCGTCACAATAACCACAAGATAGGTACCTCTATGGCCTCCATTTTACAGGTGAGAAAAACCAAGGCACAGAGATCTTAAGCAACTTCCCATGGTGGCATAGCTAGTAAGGAGCAGAGCTCACGTAACATCCCAACATGACATGACCAGTGATGAGTAGAACTTGAGTGATTGCCCAAGATGGCACAACTAGTAAGGACAGAGCTCAAGTTACTTGATGAAGAGGACAACTTTAGGAAGGGGTAGAGCTAAAGGAACTTGTCTAATATGGAAAACTGATAGCTAGCAGACCTCATGTAACTTCCCAAGATGGCAAAGCTACTAAGGGACAGGGATTAAGTATCTTCCCCAGTCACATAGCCTGTGAGGGCTGGAAAATGCAGGTGCTCTAGCACCACCCTTCATACTTTCTACTGTAGTACCTGTCAGGCTTAATTGGTTTGAGGCTCTGTGCGGTGACTCCTGACAGATAAAATGGCCTTCTCCATTTTACATGCGTTTTCTCCCTCATTTCTTCAAAGTGGGTCATAAGATAAAAAGTTTCTTTTCTTGCCTTTGGGAGGCAAGGAAAGGGGAGCATTGAAAAGCCTGCCTCCCACTGCACGGCCAGTCTAGAATTAAGGAGCCTAAGGCTAGAATGTTGGATTTTGAGAGGACTGGAAAGGCTGCTGAGACCTGAGGCTGGAGAGAAAAAAGAGGTGGGTTTAGAATTAGGACGAGGCAAGAGAGCCACTTGGCTTGGATATAAAATTTAAGGTTCACCAAAATACTCAGGAATTAAGATAAATAATATTTTAATAAAATATTTTTGAAAATTAAAAAAGGCAGAAAAAGAAGCCCATGAAGAAGAAAATATCAAACTTTTAAATAAAGACAGGATCTGACACAGACGGTATTAGGTGAAGCAATTGAGGCCAAGTCATGCAAGATGAGTGTTAGAAATACTGCATTTATATATTTCTTTATGTTGATTACTGCGCTTTTGGAAACCCCTTAAATTTTATGCCTGAGCTGAGTGCCTCACTCACCTCATCCTAATCCCGATTTTGGGAAGAAGAGTGGGGCTAGGGAACCAGTTGGAGCCTGAGGAATAATTCTGGGGTCACACATGAAAAAAAGAGGACACAAAGCCTCACTAAGAACATCCCATACCAAGTTCCTTTTCCTATGTTCTTTATTCCTGACAGCTACCTTTCAAGGCAGCTGTTAGCATTATTACTTATATAACAAAGCTGAATGCCAAAGTCATAAGGATAGAAAGGTTTCAAGATCTACCTGCCTCTAGAGCCTGGCTGTTCCCACTACTGGCCAGTATGTGCTTAATAAGCAGAATTTTTGACATTTTTTAAATCTTTTAGGTCACAAGCTCTACCACATGAAGACAGAAATCACAATGAGAAATTTCACTGACTTGACTCCTTTTGAAGCTGCCTGAAATCTTAAACCATAACTTTTCTCTCCTGGTACTCTTGAAAAAATTACAGTTCCTCCTGAGTTATTCATATATTACATCTAATAAGAAGCTTCAGACATAAGAGTGTTGATGGAACACACCCTTCTCATATTGGGGCACCGTTTTCTGGGCCACAGCATATTTGGAACAGAAACATTCAGTTAAGTGAATTCAGTGACAATTTACACTTGTGTTGTAAATCCAGTCCATTATTTATGGTAATCCAATTTTGGGTGAAGCAGAAAGAGAGTGGGCTTGGAGTCTGAAATGAAATCGACTGCCAGTATGTTACTTTGAATCATTTATTGAAATCTCTCTGGGGTTTAAGTTTCCTTTTGTATAAAATAATAGGTTTTTTTTTTTTTCATGAAAATAAGATTATACGAAATCCTGCCTTCCTTAAAGTCGACATGACCCAGTGATGAAGAACCTACATTGTGATTTCTACTTGCGCATCAGGAATCCAGGGTCAGTCAATACTTTTACCCATTGCCAAATATAATTAAAGCATAGGGCTCTCCTTGATCTAAAAAATAATTAAGCCTATTAGAAAACAACTACACATAGGTCTGGCTCCATTGGTTACTTCATCATTTCCGTCTGCTGTAGCCACTTTTGGCATCTAACACAGCTTGGGCTCTCATCCATAAAAAGACAGCTATTACAAATGCATTATTGTCATCTTGTTTGTACAAGTTCTGTTGTGAACAATAACCATTTATTATCTAAAAAAATTACCTTTTGGCTTCCATAAACTAATATTCTATGAATTCATACACTGAGCATAGTCTTTCAGGCAGAAATTAATCAAATACATTTTTTGTGCCCCATTAGATTTTGGGCATAACTCCACTGTGTTTAATCTTTGTATGCTCAATGGCAGGTACAATGCTTGGCTTGTAATAGGGTTCTCAACAGACAATAGTTGATCCTTGATAGATATCACAAACAAACTTTTTGTTTGTTTCATCCTTGGATAAATAAATACTCTAAACACTAAGCTCTCCAGAGTCTGCTATACCCGTTAGCAAATGACCCATGAATCAGAGCATCAGATGGAAAGGTAAAGATTAGGGACTAAAAGATCCTGGTGAATGATATCGTCAAGCTTTTCACTTATTGGAACTAATTTAGATTAAAGGCTAATTCTTGCCAGTTAGCTTCATTTTCTAATATTTGGGCATTTGATACTTTAGAAAGACCTTCTTTGAAGGAATTCATTCATTCAACAAATATATGTAGATTAGGTATTGTTTTGGGTACCAATGACTCAAAAATGTCTAAGATACGTCTCTGTCTTTAAGGATATCACAGCTAATGGATAGCATGGGCATATAAGCAAAAAGTTAAATGCAATGTAAATAAAATGATGGAAATATGTCCAAAAAAGAATATGGGCATAAATGGGAAGTGATTTGCTCTGATTTTCTGAGTCTAGAAATATTTAACAACGAAGCTTAAAAATAGTCTAAAAGATGAGTAGGACTTTTCTGGGTAGAAGAGGAGGAGAAAGACATTCCAGAACCAGGGAAAGCATCTGCAAATATATAGGGATACAAAATAGCATGAAAACCTCAGGAAGCTATAAATAGCTTGGTGTCATTGGAACAAAGGATTCTTGGGGAGGGTGGGTGATTGCACAGAGAATTAATTCAGGGGCCAGGTTATAGGGAACACTCTGTACCAGGTGAGTTTTGACTTGATTCTATCTCAATAGTCCTGAGAGATACAGGGTACCACTTGGCTCATGTTCCCATTAGTATGAGTGGCTCATCCAAAATGATTGATCTCCTTTTGCCCATGCAATTTTGGTTTGGCTTCTTCCTCTGAGAATTTCAAACTTGGCTGTGCATTAGAGTACTCTGGTGGTAGCTTTGAAAAAATACATATTTCTCGGGCCACCTGGGTGGCTCAGTTGGTTGAGCATCTGGCTCTTGATTTCAGCTTAGGTCATGATCTTAGGGTCCTGAGGTCAAGCCCCGCATCGGGCTCTGTGCTCAGTGCAGAGTTTGCTTGAGATTCTCTCTCTCCCTCTGCCCCTCCCCCTGCTCACGTTCTCTCTCTCTCTCAAATAAATAAATAAATAAAATCTTTTTTAAAAACATATTTCTCCTTCTCTTTCATGCTATCCCTCAGATTAATTTAATGAATACAGCACAACAGTGATCTCTGAACCCTTGTGTAGGGACCATTGACATGGGAAGACATTGCAACAGAAGTATCATCAAGGTAAAATTTACTGTTTTGGGAAGGTCACAGTAGTTACCTTGGGGAGGATATTTGGGAAGGAAGATAAAGGGCACAGATGACCAATGGCAGGGATTCTCCAAGTCGTTGAAGTAATAGAGGTCAGATATGAAGAGAATCTAAGGCAATCGGAGTTGGTTCACAACCTTAGAAGTCCCCAGTATAATCTGAAACTGGTCCCTGTACATGGAAGGCAAGGAGAGACCAAAGAAAGAGACCACTCCAAATTGGTACGTAGCAGTTTTAATAAGCAAGGGAAATGATGTATGAGGCTTGTCTTGGGTGGCCGCAAAATGAGTAGATCTCTGTAACTGCCCCTTAATCTTAAAGAATGTATATAGAGGCCTTAAATGGGGTTCAGTCCTGTGTACAGCCCAGGTGGTCTCAATAACACAGTACTGTCTCAAGGCTGAATCCCTGCGGCAACTCCCTGTATGAGAATGGTGGGCAGAATGTACATTCCAAGGATGGGAGAGGAAGTGAGGAGCCTCCAATTGCCCAGGTTCAGCTCAAGGGTCCAGCAGGTGGCCATGTCCTCTTGATGACCTCCTCCAACAGTCTGGTATAAAGGAGGAAATAGAAATGAGTAATCATATGACCCTAGAGTCTGTGACACTGGGATTCCCTGGAACTAGATGAGGAGAGCGAGGGGCACTAAGGAGTTAAGAATGACTCCAGATTTCTGGCTTGGGGTTTTTGGAAAAGGAAACTAAAGAATCTCAACAGATTCTGAGGAAAAAGCAAAGAACTTAATTTGGGACATGGTTTGAAGTTGAGATGCTTGTGGTATATTTAACATTAGATTTCTTACAGGCAGTTGGATATCCCAGCCTGGAGCTCTGGAAAAAGGTCTGGGCTGAGATGAGGGTTTGGGAGACATCTTTGCTTAGGCAAAAGTGGAAACTAAGCCAACAGGTGAGATCACTCAGAGTGGAAAGAGTAATAGAAGACTGAGAATTAAAGTCTCAAGCCAGCAAGTTTTAAGAGGAGAGTAAGAGAGAAGAGTTAGCTAAGGACACTGAGAAGAAGCAACCAGGAGAATGGGAGGAAATCCAGGGGAGAATAATGTGTCAGAAGTTATAGCAGCAGGGTGCCTGGGTGGCTCAGTTGGTTGGGCGACTGCCTTCGGCTCAGGTCATGATCCTGGAGTCCCGGGATCGAGTCCCGCATCGGGCTCCCTGCTCAGTGGGGAGTCTGCTTCTCCCTCTGACCCTCCCCCCTCTCATGCTCCCTCCTCTCTCTATCTCATTCTCTCTCTCAAATAAATAAATAAAATCTTAAAAAAAAAAGAAGTTATAGCAGCAGAAGAATAGTTTTAAGAAGAGGATGTGGTCAGCACTTAAAACATGTTAGAGACAGGTCAAACAATGACATGACCATTGGGTTGAGCCCAGAGGAGGTTCTCAGTAACTGGTAACAGCAATTTCAGTTAAGCCATTAGGAAAAATTGGAACCAATTTGCTGTGGGTCAAGAAATCAATTGGAGGTGAAGAAGGAGAGATGAAGAGTGTAATTTTTCAAGAAGCTTGCCTGAGAAGAGAAGGGGAGAAATAGAATGGTAGCTAACTAGGAAGGATCCAGGATTTAATGCATTTATGTGTCTGGTTTTAAGATTGGAGAGAACTGTAAATATTTGCAGAGGGGAGACTAGAATTTAACAATTGGAAAGAAGGGATAGTTGACACAGGAAGGAATGGGAGACCACAGAATGGGCAGTGGGGTTTGCCCTAGTTTTTCTTATGCTTTGAGCTCCTTCCACCAAACTGGGAAAGTAAGAGAGAGCATACCATAAAGGAAGGGGAAACCATTCATTTCTCCCCTGCCTCCCTACCCATAACTTCCCACCTTATTCTCTACAATGAGCCTATACCCCTTGCACTACCTCAAGATTTTGAAGAAATGCACATTTATAGGCACAGAGATTTTGTGGCAGAAAAATGTTATAAATAAAAAGTATAGGGGCGCCTGGGTGGCTCAGTTGGTTAAGCATCTGCTTTTGGCTCAAGTCATGATCTCAGGGTCCTGGGATGGAACCCAGCATCAGGCTCCCTGCTCCGCGGGAAGCCTGCTTCTCCCTCTCCCTCTGCTCCTCCCCACCTACTCATGCTCTCTCTCTCAAATAAATAAACAAAAAAATCTTAAAAATATATATATAGTGATTAGTATAAATCTCTCATTCACACCACACAAAACTGCATTGACTTGATCTCGAACACGGGGTAGAATTGAAGCTATTGTTAACTCAGTTATATTAAAGTGCATCCTTAGGATTTTTGTTGTATTACAGAATTGGCGATGCTCAGTTCCCAAGACATTATAGCTCTTCTTGTGATCCCTGTGAGTATTAAATTAGGTACTTCAGAAGGTTGGGGGGGGGGCAGGGAGTCTATCCCTGTACTGTCAGTTTATTAGTCAAGTGGGGCTGAAAAGATTAATATTTGGTCCAATTCTTCATCTTTCTCTCATTTTTTAGTGAAGAGACAGATTACTATGGAAAAAATTGCGCTCTCACTGCGCTGAAGTTTTATTATATGTGCCTGGAGAGCCTGATGAGGCACTATGCATTTAGGGTTTCATAAACAATTAAATAACACCCTTCCTTAGTGTAAAATTATTCAGAAACACCTCTATTGGTGTCATTTTGGAGGTTGTAAAGGCAGTCACACAAAGCATGGAAAACATAAATAGTGCATAAAAATAGAAACTGTGCATCACAGGAAGTCAAAATGTAACCTCAAAGGGAGTAGGTTGACCTACTCAGACCTAGATTGAGATTGTAACTGTGATATCTGCTAACTGTGTCCCTTAGCTCTGTAAACCTCCCTGTTAAATGGTGCGATGCCCCTTTAGTTGGACAGGAATTTCTACAGAAACTATATTATGTTGGTTTTACAGCCAGATCCTGAGCTCTCATCAGAAACACAGAATGAAAGAAAAATCTGTTTTTCTCAGATCTCCCAAACTGCCAGAATTAAGTTTATCACTTTATACCCTAAAGATTAGTACAGAGATAGACTTGGGGAAAAGTAACTTCTTATTGTCTATAAAAGTATTAGCCAGTGGGGCACCAACACCACCAGGCTGACGATACAAGAGAGCATCATGTTGGGGAGAGTTTTCTCGCCTTGAGCTGCTGTTTGAATACTTCAGTCTGTCTTTTTCTACAACCCTGTCAACTGAAGAGATGGACAGATTCCACAAGCAAAAGCCTGTATTGACCAGAAGGTGAGCTTATGCCTGAGAAATGGAATATTCAACTTTAAGACCAAAATACTACAGAGAGTGAGCCAAAAGCTGAAACCCAGAGGGACTAAAATAGGCCCTTCTTAATACCCGCTTGACCATAAACTTGCATTGTTTTTTTACTTTAATATCTGCTATACTCTACTCATTTTTTTCATTCCTAATCTTGCTTATCTGCACTTTCCTTCTTTTTTGAAAAAAATCCATATTGCTGGACTTACCCATTTTTCTTTCCAAAGAACCTGAGTTTGCCTTTGTTGATTTTTTCTGTAATACCTTGATTTTCTCTTTTGCTCCTAATTCTTTCTTTCTGTTCTCTTTGGGTTTATTCTGTTCTTTTTCTAACTTCTTAAGTGTATGCTTGGCTCATTATTTTAAATCCTTCTTCTCTTGCATAATGCTATGGTTTTTCCCACTAAATGCCACTTTTGTTGGGCCATTTAAGTTCTCATATGTAGGATCTTCATTATAATTCCATTCCAAGTACTTTCTTATTTCCATAATGATTCTTCTTTGAAGTCTGTTTTTAAGTTTACAATTACGGGGAATTTTATTCATCTTTGTGCTATTGATTTTGAACTTAATTGCATAATTGACAGAGAAAGCAGTATGTGTGATGTAGATGATCTGGAATATTGAGACTTGAATTGTAGCTAAGTAAAAGCTCCATTTATTCTTGAAAAGAAATGAGTAGTCTCTAACTATTGTCATTAGATAAAGGTTGCTATTTGTATTACCTGTAGGAGACATTTCTTTTGATCTCCTTGAGCTCTTAATTGAGACAAATGAATTTGTTAATTTTCCTGGAAGCTTTAGCAGTTTTTGCTTGATATTTTCTTATATTCTTTTTCGAATACCACGACAAAACCTCAGGGCCATTGAAGAGCATAAGACTTGGAGTAATTGATTTACATTCATTGGATGTATCATTAGGTGGATTTGATTAACTTGAATATCTTTGCCCTCTCTCACTTTTCCAGCCTCTTAAGTCTGAGATTTGTTTAAAGCCTTGTTACTTTTATGGTTCCATTAAAGTTTCAGTGCCCAGGGCAAAGTTTTATTAAAGGAGGAAGGAGCTGCTTCCAGGAAATTTCAAGCCACTTCGAATGTTGACGGTGTCTGCTTGTCTGACAGCTTCCTTTTGAGGTTTACATTTCCATTTAACAGGTGACTTCAGCACTGTCCACACACCTTCTGACACAGTCTATAGTAGTCAAAGAAAGAAAGAAAGAAAGAAAGAAAAGAGAGAGAGAAAGAAAGAGAAGAAGAGAGAAAGAAAGAAAGAGAAAAAGAGAGAGAGAGAAAAGACCCTGCCAGCCCATGGTGAGTTGAATTTAATAAATTCTTCTAGTCATGATGTACTGGTCCTTTTGTTTTTCCCGTTTCACCTTCTTTCTTGATCCTCTTTATCACCATAATGGGGTCACTGGGTCACTGGTACCTGTTTTAGCAGTTAATATTTTGGAAATACTTTTAGCTTTAAAGAATTGCAAAAACAGTATAGAATTCCCATACACCTGTCACCCTTGTATTAGTATCTTCCCTAACCAAAGGATATTGATCAAAACAATGAAATAAACCTTGTTACAATACTATTGACTAAAGTTAGTAAAATAAAATTGAACATTTCTCACCTTTCACCAGGTTTCCAATTAGTGTCTTTTTTCTATTCTAGGATCTAAAGCAGGACCTCACACCACATGGACCTGACTCCCTCGTCTCCTCAATCTACGACAGTGCCCCGTTCTTTCTTGTCTCTCATGACCTTGATACTTTCCAAGAGTAGTGCTCCATTATTTTGTAGAATGTCCCTCACCTTGGGTTTGTTTGGTGTTTTTTCATGATTATGCTGAAGTCCGGCATCACTGGGCAGGATACCACAGAAGTGCTATGACTTCCCAAATGCAGCCTACCAGGGAGTACATGACGTCAATATAGAGGCGTCACTCCCGATGTTGACGGTGATCACTTGGCTGAGATGATGTCTGCCAGGAATCGCCACTGTAAATTTACTATTTTCCCTTTGTAATTATTACGTGTTTGGGGATAGACACTCTGAAACTATGCAAATATCCTATTTGGACTTGAACTTTTGTGTCAGGCTACCCAAGACCTCGTCATCAGTGGGCATGAGACTGAAGCCCCTTAGGTCACTGAAACTTGCACCTTCCTCAAAACAGAGGTCTTCCTTATAGGCTTACCTCACAGGTTTGCAATTTCCTTTTCATTTGGCCCCACAGGGATTGTTCTGTCTTACAAGCTCAATGAATACACTTAAAAGAATGCTTGTTACATTTTATCTGGCATTTCATGGTGTTTTGTAATGGAAGACTGTTTTTTTAGGTTAATTGTGATAACATGTTGCTGAAAATGACTGTTGCTTCCACCCACCTGCGTACATTGATATCTACATACATCTATATTCTGAAGGCCATCCTATGATGCCTGTATTTTCTGAGTCCGAAGTAAAGACTCCCATTCTGAAAAAAAGGCTTTTCTTGATTTGTGATTTTTTTTTGTATGTGAAGAGACCTACAATTGCGTAAAAATCAAATTATATGTTCTGTTTAGTCAAACATTGAATCATATATTTTGGGAAGAATAAAACTACATAAAATTGAGACCAGCACAGAAAATCCCGGACATATGTTTTCTGCACCTACGGCTCATTAATCATGTTGCTCAGCTTCTCCCTTTCGGTTCAGGGCATATGATCTCCTACAACACAGTTGCATCTGTGGAACACTGAGCTCCGTTGTTTTTCTGTATTTGCTGCTGCTGCTGATATAAGGAAATAACTACTATTTCTAAACTATGGATAGATATACAGGTATACTTAACAAAACAGTTCTTCACATTTTTTGAGAAATTGGTTCTATCATCTTGCATTGCCATCTTATTACATTGCCCATGTCTGACTTCTTTGCTGATACATTTTCACCAGCATGTTTCTTTCTATAGTTTTTTTTTTTTTTTTAATTTTTTGACTGCTGCCATCTGTCATTATAACTCATCTTCTACGCTGAGTGACTTTGCATGTGATGATTGCCGGTTTCCTAGCCACTTGGACCTCCCAGTTCTCCACGAAAGAGGAGGACCTCACGATGTCCATGCCTGACTCATCTAAGTTGCCCGCTGAGATTAAAATCTGACATGGAAAGTCCATTAAGTGGTTTCTGTTGAGGCTGGGGTAGAGGTTGGGCTATGCACGTGTGTGTGTGTGTGTGTGTGTGCATGTGTGCTCACTTGGAGAGGACAGGCTAAGTCCTGTCGTTCAATAAAGCGAAGAACAGATGGCACTGTCAGTTCGAGGCACAGCACAATCACACGCCATGTGAGCATCCCTAAACGGGGCTGCATATGCAAACCCACACTGCCAGCAATCCCTCTGGCATTTAAATCCCCGGAGCTCCAAGAGAGCATATTGCACCGCATTCCTCTGAACAATAAAAACTGCTTAACTTTCTGCCTTCCCTCCACATTCCTTCCCACTCCCTGCTCCCTGGGGCAAGCTGGAGATGAGCTTCAAACCTAAGTTTTATGAAGTCAAGTCTTTAAGTCATTTGTGCTCCAGGGCAAGGAGAGAGTGACACATGTGATGTTGGGAATAAATGAGTGAGACTCAGCCCAATAAATGTGAAAATTATTTATTCACTGTATGAGTATATGAAGATCTCCCTTTATGGGCAAAAACCTATATGGGATAGATAATGATAGTGAAAGAAGAAAAGAAAAGAAAAGAAGAGAAAAAAGGTACAGTCTCTGCCCTCAAGCCAGCTCAAGCTGGTAATAAATCAGAGGAGATAAGATACACAATGTGTCCAAAATACAAGTTGGAACTTGGAGAACGTAAAGTGAGAAAGTTTCTATGAATGACATCACTGCTAATTGAAAGGATAAACTTGATGGAGTCAGTACTAGCATTTGACTTGGACTTTGAGAAGGTGAGTTTTAAGTTGGAAGATAAGAGGGTTGTAATTCACTGGTGATAACAATGAAAATTATCTGTATAGTACTCCAGTAATTCCTATTTCTATCACTAATCTTTTAGCCCATCAAAAATTAAAATGAGAAAAAATATTTAGTCTTGGGATTTGGCCATTTTCTTCTTGTTGAAGAATTCCCTTTGCAGCAATTTCCCCTCTTGAAAACTTTCAGTTTAATTGGAACTCGCACACTGCCTCTTGATGTAGAGTGGTCTACCACTTTGGAAAAGTAAAGCTAACTGTGGGCCATATCCTATGATCCAATAATCTGCTCCCAAAAGGCACTTTTTAGAATATTTATAGCAGCACTATCAAGTCCCAAACTGGGAAGTTATCCAAATGCCCACTGATACCAATATTGATAACTATAGCATGGAATATTCCCTCGATGGAATGCAGTCTCTTAACCATCTGAGCCACCCAGGCTCCCTAGAACTTTCTTTTCATTAGCTCCAAAGACCGTAATGTTGTTTCCACTTGGATGTATCACAGGCCCTTTAAATGGAACATGTGCAAAATAGAGCTTGATACCTCCCCACCAAAAAATCCCTTTCCCTCCTATTCTCCCCATCATGGTGAAAGTTCCCTGCTGTCCACCTAGCAATCCCATTCACCGGTTGGTCATCCTAGACTTTCTTGTCCTTCTTCTTCCTCACTTAATCCACAGGCTCTGTCATTTCTACCTGCTAAAGAGCTCTTAAATCTTTATCTTTTTTTAGTTCCAAGCCCACCCCAAAAAACTTGTGGAATAAATGAATCTCCGTAGTCACCAAACCCCCTGTTTCTCAGCTAGCCACTTCCCACCCATCTGTTCCTTCTACAGTCTTTATATAAAGAGTAAGTCTACCCTACCCGTTCCTAGCCCAAAAATCTTTGAGTCATCTTTGACTCTTCTCTCACACATCCAATTGGATAGCTGTATCTTCAAAATGTATTCAGAATAAAATCCAGACTATTTCTTACCACCTCTTTCCCATCCTTACCACCTGGACTCTGCAAGCCATTCTCCAACCAGCATAGCCATTTGCACACCTGTTCTTGTGCTCCACCCACACTGTTGGGTTTGCTGTACCCTAGCACATTATCCCATTGTGTGTGCACACTCTCTTCTCCCTGCTAGGGATGCTCGTTCCCCTCTTGCCAACCTGGATAATTCTTTCTCATCTAAGGTGAGCATATACCATCATTTTCTCTAGGATATCTTTCCTGGATCTTTCAGGCTGAGCCAGTACTCTATGTTTTTATGTATCTTTATATTCTGAGTGCCAAGCACATTGTCTGGCATGTAGTTGGTTCTCAGTAAATTCAGAGACACATGATGAACTAACCTATTGCACTGTTAATAAAGCCCTGCCATAATGCCTTTTGCAAACATTTATTATAATAATTACCACATCCTATTGCAATTCTTGATTTCCATTCTAGCTTCCTCACCAGGTTAAAAGCTACTCAAAGTCAGGAAATGTGTGTCTTAATCATGTTTGCATCCTTTATATGCCCACAGTAGTGTTCAAGAATAATTGCTAAATGAGTAAGAGCACACATGAGTTGGGAGGGCATTTATAAGTCTGTGTTTCTTGCTAACTGCTCTGGACTGAATTGTGTTCCCCGAAAATTCATATGGTGATGATGTGATGGTATTTGGAGATAAGGCTTTAGGAATTAATTAGGTTTAGATGAGGGTGGGGCTCTCATCATAGGATTAGTGCCCTTACGAGAAGAGACATCAGAAAAAAAAAAAAAAAGAAAGAAAGAGGAGACATTAGAGAGTGAGCCCTCTAATCTCTCCTTCTCCATGTGTTCGTTTCCCTTCAATGTGAGGACACAGCTAGAATGCACCTTTCTGCATAGGAGGAAGAGAGCTCTCACTAGAATCTGGCCATCCTGGCACTCTGATCTTGGACTTCCAGCCTCCCGAACTATGAGAAAATAAATTTCCATTGTTTAAGCCATCCAGTCGGTGGTATTCTGTTATGACAGCCCCACCAGAGTAATATAGTGTCCTATCTGAATTAGCTACTCTGGCTATTGTCAAAAGCCAGGATTGTGAAACTTCCTGAAAATACACATTACACTTTTCCTACAAACTACTGCTTTGTCTTGACTGTACATTTCAACTGGTTCCAGATGGCACTAATAAGGCCAAGATCAATCAGCTTGTTGTAATACAAAGTCACAAATTACATCCTTGGTCACAACCAGTCATCTCAGGAAAGTGAAACTGAATGACCCCATTGCTGGGAAATCAATCCAAAGCCCATTTCC